AGGAGTGAGACTAGGAGTGAGCCCTGGTGTATTGTGGTCCCCTGCTGGCGCTGGAGGAAGCTTGGTGGCTTCTCTGGTGAGGGATGTCAAGCACTGTTGGTGCTCACCCCGTGAGATGTATTGTAGGCAGGTTTTCTGTGTCCATCAAGTCATTGCTCTCTCTGCCAAGTACTTGGTGGAGAAAGTCTCAGCCATTTCATGAAAAATACTTGAATGTTCTGCCTAGTTTGGCTGAGCAGCTGTGACTTCAGGGTGATTGGTTGGATTTGCATACCAGATCCCAGCCTCCGTCAGGCTTCCCTAATTGCTTCTGTGCAGTCCACAGTGTCTCTCAGTACAGCCTCATTCAAACTTCATGGAGTAAAATTCCAGACCAGTGATTAATTTGGAAACACCTTTGGACCCTAGAGCTGCACCTACCCAAAATAGCAACCATGATCTAAGAAACATTTGCTTGTGGTGCAGTGCTGCAGGACATAGGTTTGTAATAAAATTATGTCTAATGAACTAGAGATATTTTACCTCTTCCCTTTAAAACTCATGCAAAGCCTTCACCTTTGCCCAAAAACATATTCTGCTGAACGGCTGTCTCTCTGTCAAGATCAGTGAACCAAACTACACATGAAGAGTCAGCAGCACCATGTGCAGTCAGGCAGGAGATGCTTCCAGCTGTGAGGCACTGAACAGTGGATTCACATCAGAAAGTCTCTGTTAACTCCGGAGTCTTAAGGCTAATTGCTGTGGAGATTGGCTGTAATCTTTTGACACCCTCAACCGAGCATTCCTTGGTTAATGCTCCACATTAACAAATTAAGTTATTAGCTCTTAATACCTGAAAATCTAGAGCTTCTGTGCCAGAGGGTGTCAGACAGACAAGATTAGGAAGATTTGTTTCCAAAGCCTCACATTTCTGAGCAGTGTTTGTAGCTGATCATTCAGCCCAAGAATGTCAAGCAAAGAATGGGCCATGAGAGGAGAAAAAGCCCTGGAGCGATTCAGAGTGAAAAACATCCTTAGAAGAACATGAATGTGCTTAGATAACACTCAGAAAAGATACCCAGCAGGCATGCCCCTCTGGACTGCCTCGGGCCTGGGCAGCAGCAGTTCAGCAGCCTGTTGTGCATCACATGCTGCATCTCAGGCCGGTGCTGCAGTGGGGAGAGCAGGTGAGTAGCAGGCTTTGAACAGCCAGCTGGATGGCCTCTGTCACCAGGGCTCTTCTGGTTGGAAGAGGAGCTTCTGCACTGCTAAGGGGAGAGAATTAATTTGTAAGAGCGGAAGAGAGAAAGGTCACTTTTATAGACGGTAAGTGGTGAAGCCCTAGTATGGGCATGGAGAATATTGCCACTGAGGCCCTGGGTGCCCTGAGCTAACTAGGGTGCCAAGAGCAGCAGGTGCCAGTGTCTGATTTTCAGTGATTTTCTCCCTGGTGGCTTATCTCTGTGTGTGAGCTGGATGGAGGACATAGTGTGTGCTGCACAAGGTTGCTGCTTCCTGAGTTAAGGACCACAGAAATCAAACTGCAAGTGATGAAATATTGACTTTTGTGCTTCCCAGACCTTCAAAAAGGAAAATAAGCCTTCTGAGTAGTAGATGTTATACATAAGAGTTTGCAGGGCAAAAGTTTACCAGTGAGAAATCAAATGTCTAAAATAATAAAATCATAGAATGGTTTGGGTTGGAAGGGACCTTCAAGATCATCCAGTCCCAACCCCCTGCATGGGCAGGGACACCTCCCACCAGCCCAGGTTGCTCCAAGCCCCATCCAACCTGCCCTTCCACACTTCCAGGGATGGGGCAGCCACAGCTTCCCTGGGCAACCTGGACCAGGGTCTCACCACCCTCACACTCAAGAATTTCCTCCTCATGTCTCACCTCAATCTCCCCTCCTCCAGTTTTAATCCATTCCCCCTTGACCTCTCACTACAAGTCCTTGTAAACAAGGGTGATGCTGCAGCCTGCAGGTGAGCAGGCACTGTGGGTCCTCTGTTCTGGACCTGTCGGTGGGGTTGCCTCTCATTGAAGCCTGGACTAACAAGCTCTTCCTGTCAGCTCTGGAGATGCCAGATTCAGTCCCCAGTGTTGTAGTCAAGAGAGGGCTAATGGGCACTTGTCTGGGGTTTGAATTTTGGGTCTTTCCACCGAATGGAAGAAATGTGTCACCTGACAGTCAGTGGTTTTGCAGCTGCCTCCTTAGGCTCAGCTCCCAATGGACCAGTTCTCTGCTGAGTTACAGTATTGCTGATTTAAAACTCAAGTTTTATGCTGATTTTACTTAAGCTGGTGTCTTCCCTGATTACCTTTCTGCCTTAGTCTGATAATCTGTAATTTAAGTGGTTTCCAGTGTTCTAAGGTTCATGTGGAGTCCTTGGTTGCTGCAAGACTGTGGCACAACTTAGGCATTCAAGGTCCTGGCGATTAGAACTAGGCTACATGAGTCTTGTCAGCAGGCTGAAAGGATTGCCATTTGCCTCAGTGCTAATTAGCTCCTTTTGCCCTCTGTTCAGGCTTACCTTATGTGCACAGCTTCCTGTATTAGATTGGTCTTCCCAGTGATCAAACAGTTCAAAGACATCAGTTAAATGACTCTCACTGTATGAAGAGCTGTGATTTAATTGCCCTGTGGTTGCTGCATCAGGGAGACCTAGCAGTAGGATGTCTATGAAATGTAAGCAGCCTGTACAAGTCCCAGGCACAAGCATGTTCCATTCAATCCAACCTGAAATCAACACACGAGTCCCTGCAGTTCCCACAGCATCTTGTCTGTGACTCTAGGGCACTAGGTCCCTGCTAGATAGTTGCACTTAAGCATCTGCATCTTAATGTGCTCATTCAGGTGTCTGAGAAAAATTCCCTGGAACAAAATTGCAGACTACCTTCAAGATGATTGTTGAATATCAAAGAACAGGAGAGGGAATTCATACGGCTCATAGTAACCAGGACTTACCATCACAGGTGTGCAGTGCTGCTTGGTGACACCCCTTGTACTCAGGAGAGAGTTTACTGGATAGAACAGCAACAGTTGCCAGCAAGCCTGTTCAGATGGGCTTTGTCATTTGCTTCAGAAATGTTTACATTTACAGCTGTGGAATTCCTACCAGCATCCATGCTGAGAAGAGTATATAGGACCTTAAAAGCAGTGTCATAAGAGCTAAGTGGAATAATGTCAAATTATTTTACAAACTCTTTTTAAAAAATTACTTAATCAAAATGAAGGGGTCCACCATCTATAAGATACGAGATTTAATTAAGGATCTGTGAATAGAATTATGAACCCAACTCCAGGTTTCTACATTTGGAAATTTCCATCATAAAGCATCTCCATTCATCTATCCTTACGTGCATTGAAATGTATCATGAGCTGGTATGAATCTAATCTGGCTCAAGGACATCAAAGGCTGGCTTTTCTCTTTTAAATGGGAGTTTCTTACATGTCAGTGATTGCATAAGGACACTTTACACTGGGCATAAATTAACATTCATTTTAAAAAGCCATAGTATTAAGAGGCTGGAGGGTTTTTTAAGTATAGTTGTCAGAATACTTTAACAGCATTTGTTTTTTTAGCAGTTCTGGAAAATTCCAATATTGTAAGAGTTAATATGCAGAGCAATATGGGAAACTATTTTTGCTAGCACTCTGATACAGGACCTTTATTTAGATATCATAGAAATGAAAATGAAGTTCCTGTTTGTTTCACTGAATACATGCACAAGCATGACTGGAGGATGCGGTCAGAAAATGCAATTTATACGTTCAGTGACCAGATCCAAATCAGTGTAAATTAGCCCTCTCCCATCTGCCTTGTGGTGATTTACACCTGTGGAGTATGTGACCCACTGTGTTTGAAATGCCCTCCAGAAATGGAAAATAAAGATTTAGGGAGAACCTTCTACTGAGGGGACTTTCTGGTACTGCAAAAAATGTAATCATACAGAAGATGTTACCACCACATGACTGCTTTTAATCTGCCCTTTTGCATACTGTTAATGAAGTTCAAGGCTAAATTAATCAGTGTTATTTTTTTCTTATAAGATCTGAATTGCAGGCTCCTTCACCTGTAATGACAATTCCATCTCATTTCCATGGCTTTGGAAGGTGTCAAGTGAAATGAACTACACAGCAATCCCATTTTATTCTCTATTGCATACAAATGCTTGGGTTTTTTGCTCTTAACATTTTCCTGAAGTGTTAATCTGCATATTTGTCCCAAAACCTGTGCAAATGCACCCAGACCTGTAGTGATAGCTGTCAGTGTGGTGGGTGAGGCCGTGGCTCTGCCAAGGCTCAGGCAACGTGCTGGGGATCTGCCAGCAGCCTGCTGAGCTCCTGGGAAACTTCTCTGTTGTTCACAGATACTTGGGCCTTGATTCCCTTTTCCATGGCTTTGACAAGACTGATGTGATTGACCATGTCTGCCACTTTGTAGAGAAGTCATCTGCTGCCCATGACCTTATACCTTTTACTCTTAAGAATTGTCCATCCCCACCTCCCTGTTGGCTGTTCCTCAAGCAGCTGCAGACAGGCAGTGCGTGTCCTGGCTTGGGTCTCCTCTTTGTGTCCTGACATGTGTGGGGAGCTTACACAGAGTGACAGCCTTACCTCTGTCACGTGCTGTTAGCGTGGCAGTTGTAATGGTGAGAGCCTGGCTGACGTCCTCTCTTTCCCTTGTTCACAGATACTTGGGCCTTGATTCCCTTTTCCATGGCTTTGACAAGACTGATGTGATTGACCATGTCTGCCACTTTGTAGAGAAGTCATCTGCTGCCCATGACCTTATACCTTTTACTCTTAAGAATTGTCCATCCCCACCTCCCTGTTGGCTGTTCCTCAAGCAGCTGCAGACAGGCAGTGCGTGTCCTGGCTTGGGTCTCCTCTTTGTGTCCTGACATGTGTGGGGAGCTTACACAGAGTGACAGCCTTACCTCTGTCACGTGCTGTTAGCGTGGCAGTTGTAATGGTGAGAGCCTGGCTGACGTCCTCTCTGTCCCTGTTTTCCCAGGTTGTGGCACTGTCATCATGGAGTCTCTTGAGAGATTCGATCTACTATACACTGTCTGTTGTTGCACTCATTGTGGTAAGTTTTTGAAGGTTATTTTTCTGGGCGAGACCACTTCTACTGCCACTTCTAAAGCCACCTGCTAGGCAATCGTAGTCTTGTAGCTAAGGTGCTAGCTCCAGGCATCATGTGGTTTTCTGCTTGTGGAAGAATGTACTTTGATCTCCCTGGTTCTGTAGAAAAGCTTGGCCCAAGGGTAGGAGATAGAGGAATGTCCAGAGAGCCTAGAGGTGTATCTGGGGAGAGGTGCAGTGTCCCAGTCCCTGTGCAGCCATGGGGTGCAGAGCTGACACCATGTGCTGCAGCCCCAGCACCAGCTCTGGAGCTGATGTGTGGGTCAGTCCTCTCCTGACAGCGACCCTAAAACAAGCCTGACTGACCTGTGAGGAGGCAGCAGTGGTGTCCAGAGGAAAGAGATCCTCAACAACTTTCGTGCATGCTAGCAGCAAATCCTCTTAATGAAGGCTGCAGTTTCAGTAGTTCTGAATGCTGCTCCTGTTCCAGCTTCCATCAGGATCAGGAAGTACTGCCTGTCTGCATAAAGACACTGCCACCAGTTTAGCATTACTTTTGTACCAAAGTTAGGAAATGGAAAAATTTAGTTTCTTGGTAACGGTACTTTGTGGGTTTTTTGCTTTTTTTCTAACCTAGTCTAGGACGCTACATTCCCTAAGAAAGGAAGAGTGATTTCATGAGGTTAGCTTCCATATGTAAGCAGGAAGGGAACTTTGGGGTCAGAAGATGAACAGTTGCATTTCTGAAGTTTGTGCTGCCATTATTAATCACAGTTTCAGCAATGTGTTTGTTTGTCTTGATTCTGCACATGCCTCTGTGCCGTATGTACTCTGTAGGTGCAGAGGACTGTATCTGTCTGATCTCAGAGGGTTTGCCTTGACCTGTTTGTACTTTTACTCCCCACACTGCAAGATTAGCCTTTTTACACCTGACAAAAAATAACTTTTCTTCATAATTATTAGCAACAAGCTGCAAAACAAAAAACATATTTTTTTGCTTTGATAGCTTGACAGGAACCTCATACCTAACAGTGTTGCTAAACAGCAAGCTTGGCCACACTCACTAATTGTAATAAATTACATGTAATGAATGCAAAGACATCTAGCAGGTGTTCTCGTAGGTTACTACGAGATGCACAGACATGGGCATCTGCCTGGTGTTCAGGTTGGGTGTTTCATTTGTTGCAAGGCAGCAGACAAGTTAAAAATCTGTTGAGTATGTCATTGGGTTTTAAATTATTTAATCAAAGCAGATTTTTCTCACGCCTGCTTCGTCCTTGTGGTCATCAGCTGCTTCGGGATGTTGAGAACCATTCTCTGTTGAATTGTGTCCAGTGCACCCCTGAATTTCTTGGCTATGTATCCTACATAATGTGGAAGTTCTATGGCTCATTGAACAGCCATCTCTGTTATCCTTAGGCCTTTTCTCCTATGCTACATTTTTGTATCAACTGTTCTTCACAATTACAGAACTGAAGAAGTCCTCTTCTTTTGAGGGTGTATCCCATAATATCAGGATATTGTTACTTTTTCCTGAGCCTCAGGCTAGCTTCTATCCAGATGTATGACCACTCTTCTGCTCATCAGCTGTGAGGTGCCAAGTCCTTCATGCAGCCAGCGCTGCAGGACTGTGCAACTCAAGGCATTAGAGAAGGCTTGAAGGCATTGCCGAAACTCTTATTCCCATGTTACAGCACTACATGGCTAATTGTGGCTTGGGAGATGTGGAGCTCGTCCCGCTTCTCTTCAGCATTACTCTACAGCAACCATTGCAAATGACCTTTAAACACCTGTTAGAGGAAAACAGAAAGATGGGAGAAAGGAAAAATACCTTAAATGGTTAAAGAATCAGCTCCCAGCTGATTTACTTACTCTCTTACATGCAGTAATGCTCCCCAGTTGATGGAAAATTAGGATTTCCCCTTTCAGAGTCAAACGGTGCTTCAGTTTGAGAAGTTTCTCCTCCCTTTCACTCACCCAGGGACCCCTGGCTTCACAATGACTCGGATCTTTCCTATCCTTTTAGGGCAGAATCAAATTTAAGTGGCAGCACATTGTTACTCAAATATGGGCTCTCCAGTCCCCAATGTCTCTGCTGGGAGACAAGCCACAGGCTCCATGCAGAGCATAGTGTGACCTGCAGGCCAGTCTCCCTTTGTTAGATTGCTCTGCTCCTTAAATTTTAGAAGGCACTTAAATGCTTTGCCATATAGGGATAATTTGCCATATCAGGGCATTGAGACTTTGCTGCAATGGAAATATAATCGTCTTTCTTCAGGAATGGTACTGCTTGTAGAAGGTTGCTCTCAATATTTTAAACAGCAGCTTGTGGTGCTGTATTTGAAGTTGCACTCCACTAGTGTCTTTACTAATCATAAATACACCTGAGGGGAAATAAACACATTCCTGCCAATGTTGAGATTCAGCAACTTTAAAAAGCTTGATACTCTGCAGGGAAAATCAGTGTGACTTTGTCTCCTTCCATTTCTGCCAGCAAAGGAGCTGCAGTGCTGCAGTCATAAATAGCAAACAAGTATAGACTCACCTGCTTGGTGCTCCAGGCCATTTGATAAGAATGAGTGAATTCTAAATTACAGAGGTTAGAGGTGGTGGGTAAATCACACTTCATACTTCAGTATGATTCAGCCCTACATGGGTTTTTTTTAACTTTAAAATAATATAACAAAGCTACCTCATCTTGTTGCAGAGCTTGGCAAAATTGTTACTCCTTATTTCCCTTGAAAGGAAAAAGATGCCTTTGGATCTTAATTTGAAGGGACATGGTCAGATTCATTAGTGATAGAAGTGGGATGGGTGCTATTTTTAATCACAAAGGTCAATGCACATGCTTTCATGTCCCATCACACCAACACTGTAGCCTAAAACAGGCCTTGTCAGATTAGATCACGGTGGCTGGGAGCTGTAACTAATAACACACATGACGTTTTGTGGCTGTGTTTTCTCCCAGAAGCCCAGGTCTCTCTTGCTGGGTGCTGGTTGTCGCAGGAGCTGCTGTTCACAGGCTGCGCAGCTGAAGGGAAAGAAATCACTGTGTTCAGAGGCCTGTTCCCTTTCCCTCCCTGGTCTCTGGTGCACGGCCATGGGTGTGTGTCCCTGCTGCAAACACGGCTTTTCTGCCTCCCTGCGTGGAGCTGAGGATGTCCCTGGAGGGACAGAGAAGAAAGCCGGGGCAGACGGGGCTGACAGGGCAGGATGGCTGCCCGGGCCATGGGTCCTGTAGCAGCCCCAGTTCCCCCCTCCCAGCGGGGCCTGTGCCACCATGAAGGGGCAGCTCCCCAGGGACTCTGGGCACAGGCCAGGCAGCCCAGCCAGACCTCCCGCTGCATCCA